TGCCAGTTACTTACATACGACAAGAAAAAAATGGACTTTCTATCTATAGCATTCATAAGAATTCTGCTCTTGTTATAATAATATCAACATTTTGAAAGTAGAGGTTTTAGAAATAAAATTCATCTAGTGCATCATGGTAATATAAACCACTAAATTTTTTATCAACAATAATGTCTAAAAAGAGTTTTGAAATGTGGTGCTGAGGACGAATGGATAAGATAAAATGGGCAGACACGTTAACAAATGAAGAAGTCCTGAGAAGTGTAGGCGGAAAAAAGACTCTACAGATCACGATTTTGAAAAGAAAAGGAAACTAGATTGGACTCACTCTGTAAAATGGTGCATTCTACTTGACGTCACAGAAGGACTGGAAGAATTGGGAAAAAGAAGAATGCAGATGGTTTACTTACGCAGAAAGAGAAAATACAGGGAAATGAAAGCCAAATACAGGATCAGAAAAAAATGAAAGCGCAAGTTTGAACAGGAAAATGCATAAAAATCAATAATAAAAGACAAAAATTGAAATAAAATGATAATGAGAACAATAAACAAGTAAGGGAAAATGAATCAATTCGTGATGATCTTATACCGTACTACTACTTATTTATTATTATTATGTCTGAAAAATTAGTTTTGCTATTAATTACCAACGTTAATCAACCGCGTTAAATCAAATAAGTAATTATTATCATGACATAATAAAACGTGATACGCGAGAGATGCCTCATATATAATTGTTTTATTCAAACTAAAAATACATAGATCAAAACTTAATCTCTAAATCACGTACTGTCATTTACATCCGTTTAAATCTTAATTTATGAGTAAAAACATATCTATTTAAACATATATGATGTCATAATAGTGCTGAAATAGATATCAATACGCGTAAAAATAAACCGGATCTTAGATATAGATACATAGAAATGTAAAAAATCGATCGATAAGTGATGTAACAAGTATTAGATAATCCTATTAATATAGATGAGAGATAATTAAGAACATGTGATGAAATTATATAAATTATTAGAATTAACTACATAAAATTTTGGTGAAATAATTTATTCATTTTCGACCAAATCCAACAACTTTGAATTGACCAGTTAGTTAAGCTTTGAATTTCTGGTGTCTAGATTTTTTCTGTCCGTGCCGGTTTACAGGTGCAACCTTACCGGCGTAGACCGACCGACTTCGACCAGAGGTCAAAATACTATCGGACCTTAAGACGTCGCATCGTCTTATACGTTCTTTTTCTACTACATACAAGATCTTGGCAGAGGTATAAGATAAACGAAACAGAAAAAAATGTAAAACAAATTGCGAAGCACACGCGTGCTCGGAGAAAATGCGCATATCTTTGAATTTATTTCGAATGAAACAGACGCCGACTTTTAACATCACCAAAAAGCTTATTGATTGATTCTAAAAATTACATATTTGATAATTTATTCTCATTTTATATTATTTCATTTTTTTTGTTTTATTTATAATCCAAAACCAATAATAAAAGTCAACAAAATGTTCTTAAAATATTTTTTTATAATAATTTATAAGAGTATTGAAGAAACTAAATCTCTGTCAAGTTAGTTTATATCTTTAAAGGAGAATTGTTCAAATGAGAAATGTTCTTACAATAATTTTTTGCATACCCATATTTTTAAGGAAACGTCATATAAGTCTTCATTAATCCAGATCGTAACAGAAACTTAACATACACTTTGATGAATTAACACAAAAGCTCTAGAAATAAAGAGCTTCACAGTACTTTATTAGAACTTTAATTTAATATTTTGAAATAATTAAGTTATAATGTTAAGGTATAAGTTACTTTTTTATAACAACACTAAATTAGCAAAATTTATATTATTTTATAGATGCCGAGAAGTAGAGTACACAATCTTCGTTATTATATAAATAATTGAGACAAAAAGCTCTGTAAATACATACTTCTTATATTTTACATTTCCTTTTATATAATTTTGGAATAATTATTGATTTGAAAAATTGTCTTAAATGTGTAGAAACCAGATGAAATTATCTGAAATACCAACAGATAGCCATTTGTTCGTATATGGCACTAAAAAAACAAGAACTTCACAACCTTCACAATAGAAATGAATATGAATAGTTTAACGTGTTTTTAGAAATAAAAAATTAGAAACGAACAATTAAATTGATTAAAATTTACATGGCTAGGAAGATTCCAAAAAACAAGAAGAAATTTTTAATTTAGAAAAGTTCTAAAAAATTTTCATGGATAGAAAGATAATATTATCTTCTCTTGAAACTATTTATTGATTTGAAACTGTTTTCAATCGTAGCTTGATTCCGATGCGAAACCTCGAACGGATTTAAAATAATTCCAAAGCCAAACCTCATCGCATGATTTTCATATCTTCGAGACAAATTTTATTCGGACCTTGACTTTTCACAGACGAAATAATATACATTTTCCCTAATCATTTATCGCTCTATGAAACTGGCGATCGTCGTGACTTCCATCGACATCGATGTGCAGACGGTTATTGAATGATGCCAATCATAACGCACATTGATAGATGATCGTGGGTGGGTTTTATGAGGTCAAGTATCTTATGATTCTTGAAGATGCTTCATAGATATATTTATAAAGAACTTAGAAGCAGGTTATATATATTCAATTGATTATAATTTCATGAAGTATAAAAATTTATTATACCAACATGATGATACTTTGAAAGGTTCAGTGTACAAAGTTTGTTCCCACATCATGGAATATTATTACAACATCATTTCTAGCGATTTATAAAAGTTTTGTGTAATGTTTCTGTAAGGTTCTATACAACATAAACTCTTTAGTAGACTGAGCATCGGTACCAACAACAAACTTGGTTTATTTAAAACTTTGCACATAATGATGAACGGATCTATACTCGTATAATTTTTATTACACTTTTATTAGATAAATAACTCGTACCATTAATAAATTCGCTTTCTCATCAGAACTCATGAATCTATACATTCATATGTACTGATTTAATAGAACTTGTGCATTCTATCAAATTTTAATAATCTTCAAATATAATTTATGAAATGATTTGAGATGTCTTGCTATGAATTAGTTAGTTTAGTTAATATTCAGTTATACTATTACATTTGAACATACTCTGTTAGTGATGAAAGCAAATTATATGACTAAATGATGAAATTATATAAAGCATAATACGAAATTATAAATGTGAAAAATAAAGATAAAATTATAAAAGCATATTAAAAAGTAAAAATAAATAATAAAAACTCACGTTTGTGCAAGTGAAATTCAGTCTTTATCCATTGACGTCTCTCAATAAGTTTTCTTGATAACTCCTCGTGAGAAAAACCTCCTTGGAATTTCAGAAAGCTTATATATCCTGAATCCTTTGCATAAGAATTAAACTGCACTTATAAATTTTGAAACATTTTTAAGAAAACTTTGTTTATAATGATCACATAGTTTGACACAATTTTTTAAAAGTTCATAGGATTATTTGAACACTAAATAACGCGATTGTAGACGGCCGTCCAATTTTAGATCCTGGTAATTTTCATAAAAATCCATTTCATTTAGGAACAATATCTTTGTTCTTTCCCCAATTGCAATCTCTAAATTTATTATTCATTTTGTAGAATTTCTTCATATATGTTTCATTTTCAATGGTATTTGCTAGCAAAATTATGGTTTTATAAAATGAAGAATGCTATTATTGCTGCTTTTCATAAGGTGCACTTTCAGTGCGATTTGCTTCACTTGCATTTTGCTGAATCGATTTATTAAAAGAAACATAATAAGATTTTATACACATGCACAAGTTAGTAAATAAAAGCAACTAAAATATACCATAATTGATTTACAATACAAAATAGTCACAAAGGCAAAGCAGTGAAATTAGTTCAACGCATGCATGCACAGAAAATTAATATAGTAGAGTAACCAAAATAAATAAGAAAAGAAAAGACAGATATATATTAATAGTTGAACCACATCCAGAACATTTATTATCACTTTTTCTTATTCTTACAGTACAAATTTAAAATAAATACATTTTAAATAAATAAATAATAGTTAAATTAAATATAATACCTAGCTATCCTAAATAATTTAAACTTAAAAATAACTTAACTGTAGGTCATTGTGACTAGCAATAAGTTTAAAACGAGATCTTTTAATATTTTTAAGTCTTTAATATATTACCAAATTTTATATTTAACTAACGCGATAATTTAATTTCTTTAAAGCTACGCAAAATTAGCACAACAGATTTGAATAAATAATAATTTATACAATTAGCTTACATTAGTAGATCACGTATTCTTAATAATAATTAATATGTAAATATATGAGATCATAATAAATAAACAAATAAAAAACCTAAATTATATATATTATATAATAAATTTGTACTCTGTATTTTAGTATATTAGTAAACGTATCATGCTATTAGTATTATTAGTATAAACTTAAAAATAAAATAGCAAAAATGTTATTCATTTACCATTAGTTCATTAATTCGAATAATGAAGTGTGCATGAACTAATGAGAAATAAAAGAAATTTTTGGATGAAAGTTTTGTAATATAGAAGGAACCTTATGAAGTTTGATTATGATATGTATATAAATATATTAAATTTTTTTCTGCGTCAAATAGACGTTTAATATTTAGAATAAATTAATAATTAGATATCTATGTTTTTTTATTTACATTGCCTACTCGGAGAAGATAGCTACCTTTGCAGGTAACTGTCTCTCGCTGCAGTAAAAGCCTGCATGTACGCATAACCCGCCCGCGGAGTCGCGATGGGAGTACGCGGCGGTGTGTTGTACGAAGGCGGCGACAAAGCGCTACCCGAGGACGCGTTGGCCGTTTCGCGAACGTGCGATCTGACCGCGTCGAAAAGATCCATCTCTGTCAATGAGGCGACGCGCGGTGCAACTCGCGCAAGTAACGCCGACGCATCGCCGTACAACAATTCGAGGATCTTACCTGTCGTGAACAGCACAATCGCCTTCAGACAGCTGTACTCCGCAGAATCAACATGCAGAGCTTTCAGCTTCTCCACTTGTTCCTGGAAAATGCGGATGTGGTCCATGAATGCGACCACCCTATCAGCGGCCATCGGTGACGCATGAAGACCAGCAGCAGCTAACAAAGGAGCTACATGCAACGGCATTGAACACTGAGATGCATTCAGTACAAACAGTTCGCTCCAGACCAGGCGAAGCAGAGCTACTTGATCCGTCACTTGGAGATCGGGGAAGAAAGGTATATTCCTCGCCCATTCTACGGCGGAGAATAATAATCGGGCGGCCAACTCGCAAATATTGTCGATTCCCATAATATTGTTGGGCTGCATGCATTGCCCGTACCTCGACGTGGGATAAGGTTCGGCTCGGAGCAGCAATGATATGTAAGATGAGAGGTACGAGTGTCCATTGAGACCTGGCGCTGATGGGTCGCCGTTGGTCAAAGCAAATTGACTGTGTAGACCTGGCAGACCTGGAGGTTGCGAAGGAGGTACTCGGCCACGTTGAACAGCTGAAATAGAGAAATGATGAAATTAGTTAAAAAAAATATCAGAGCAAATTTATATGTTAGCGTTGTAAATGAAAAATTGTTTATACACATTCTATACATAAAGCATATATTTCTTTATTTTTATACCACACAATTTTTTATATGATGATTAAAGATTATCGCAAAATATCAGTATATTTAATAATATAGTCATTGTGGTTATGTGTAATTTTTTAGTAATCGATTTTAGCTAACGCATGTGGAAACTTCACAGTGCGCAATCAATATGATGACCTTCTACATCAATCAGATTACATCTTCAATAAGCGCATTAGTATTTGATTAATGGCGTGCTAGGTGCGCACAATGTAACAGATAACAGCAAATGAATTGTGTTTGTTTAACTATAAGTTTTCGGTTCGTTAGCTAATTTTAATATCCATTTTTTTTCAAATTGATCATAAAAACAACTATTACTTGAACAATGATCGGAGCGTAAAAAATGAACAAAATTAAGAAGTTTTATATTATAATGTTAAGATAAGAAAAGTTCATTTCATTACAATATTTTAATATAATTCAATATACCCATAAACCCACCATCTCATGTGTAAAAATTAGTTAATGCTATGAATACAAGTAATATTCGTAGTGATTGATTAGTAGAATATTAACGAAGTGTTGTTCTAAACGACATAATGCATGGCTAATCGATAGTGTAGAATTACTCATGAAAAATACAAAAGCCAAAACACTAACAAGAAATATGATATGACAGCCAGCACGAGGCAAATGAGGTAGACTAATGACCAAATGAAATGACAACAATTGATTTATTAATAGTACCGACGTTCTAAGAGAAGAATCTAATTAATGAAGTACCTCTTCGATTCGAAACGAATATCCATTTATATTTGTGAACATGTAAATAATTGTAAAAGCTTAAGCACTCTAAACACGTGCCTGTTTAAATAAAATTAAATTGTAATGATATGAATTTTATCAGTACCCCAAGATAGGAAAGCAAAATTACTGTGTGTATGTACTAATGATAAGAAGAAAATCAGAAAATCTTTGGTACGTCGTACAAATAATCTACTAAGGTACTAACGGTTTCAAAAAGTTATAACTATACATAAAACAATGTATGAATTTTCAAATTACACAGAAAATTTCGCACTGGCCATTGCAAATTCATATATGCATATTTGCAAGCAAAAATATCATAATCCTATCGGCTGTCTAAGTATTTAATGTAACTATAAAATTTTAATACTATATTCCTATTTGTCTGCAGTACGCACTATGTATTTTCTTTACGATTTCATAAATTAGCAAAATATCCGAGAGCATGCGTTTTAATGGGCACGTAAAATTGTCGTGTGCAGTTTGCGATTTACGCATTTCTTGGTCGCACATAGCACATGTGCATATAGCTAGAAATTGCAATTAAGAAGAAAATTATCTATTCAATTTTGTCCTATGATTGATTGTAAATAAATGATCGTGGTAAGATGGAACGAGGAATGCAGGCGTTGGGAATAGAAATCACTGGAAGTTACTTGGAAAATACAGCTCGTTAGTTAAAAAGTTAGTTGAAAATATTTAGTAGTAAAGAAGACACTGTATCTACATATTAGAGTTGAAAATATTTTTATATCGTTACTGTTCGGAGTCCGAACTTCGGACGTATTTTCATTTTATTATATAGGCTACGAAGGCGGCAATCTTCATGGCATTGAGCTTTTGCACAAGATGGTTGCAACCCTGTAGATGGGGTAGCCAATTGGAATCGGACTTATTTTTCTCACCTCTAAAACTAAAGTTCGCGTAACAACATATGTAATAAATAATTAATGAATATACCTTCTTCAATTAGGACTTAGTGACAAATCATTAGTGTTATAAGAGTTTGCAACAAAAACATAAATTATACCAACAAATCAGTGTTTCATACAGTCCACATCAGTTACAAAGGTTAAATTATATCATTACAACCTGAGTTAATTGAAGGAGAGACTTAATACGCACACGCAGTTACATTATATTATCAAATATTAAATTAAAGTTAAACAAATTAAATATTGAAGATTAGACGGAAGTAACAAAGATCTGACTGAAGTTATATATCATTGTAAATTATGAGAAATTTGAAAAAAAGTAAAGACAATTTTTAACTAATTATGTTAGTTTTTCATTAGAAATACAACTTATCTCGTCTTATGAGTCCTATTATTTTAATAAACTTGAATATACCGATTTTCTTTTACAATTCTGCTCTGTTCGTCGGTTCAGTGCCAAGTTTAGTGAAACGCATTCACAACTTGTAATTGTAATTACACACAACTCTGGCAGTAAAAGTCGCGATGTTTTACGATTGTGCAGAACAATCTGCCACACGTCCCTAGCGGTAAACGAAAAGCTAGATGATTATTTTAATTAGATTTCTTTAAGCAGAAACAGTAAAGTTCTAATGAAGATTTAGTCGGTACTCTTGAACTGAATGATATAGTACGTCTATTGATGCATACGGGATGAGTAAGTATTTAATTATAAATAAAATTATGAATGGTAATTCACAAACACCTAAACTAAAATACAAGTTTACAAAAGTCATTTTAAACTAAAGTAAAGTATACAAAAATCATTTTAATGCAATATGAATAATGTCGAGGAGACTAGGTATGGTTGTGCGACTTTTTTGTAGGTAAAAGTAGTTTATTTTTAAGTAATAATTTTATTAGTTTACTAGTAAGCTGGGAGAAATTAAAAGGAAATACTAAAATAGTGTCCTTATTCACGATACATTAGTCAAAAATTCAAATCATACAAGAAAAGGTTAAAAAACAATGGCTATAAATACCCAAATGGTTTATAGATCATGTTAATATAGGGCGCTGACTCAATGCAATAATGTAAACTTGTTCGAACAAACATACTTCATCTTTCACCCTTTGGTTCTTATCTCAAAATCAGTGTTATAACGACTGTCGAAACCGTAATCTGGCACAACCGTACCCAAATACATGTTGTTGTTTGTGGCATGTTATTTATTCGTGTACATATGTATAGGTACA